CACTTGCAGATTACAATAAATCATTGGAAATAAGACCAAATGATGCAACTACGTTAAATAATCGTGGATTAACTTATAAGCATATGAGTAAATATGAAGAAGCACTTGCAGATTACAATAAATCATTGGAAATAAGACCAAATGACGCAACTACGTTGAATAATCGTGAAATGATATATAAAATAATAGGAAAATTATAAAGAAGCAAAATTAAGTAAATATTTACAACTGGCTAAGGATTTCGAAAGTTATAATTGCATACAAAGTATAATCTAAAATTTAAAAATTAACGTTTGCTATATAATATATTTAAGAGATTAGCTCTTTAATTATTATTATTTAAGCTGATCTTTGATTATTATTTTTTTAGCCAATTATTTTGTAAAATATTTTCACATGTTTAGTTAAACAACAATTTATTAAATTCATTTGATTTGTTTTCCTTATTAACTATTAAAGTAATATGTTTTATCTATAATAAAATGAAAAAAAAACACATTTCTTTATTAAGAAAATATCAAATAGACAAATATATTGTAAAAAAAATTATGTACCGTATTTTTTTAATCTGCAAATGAAAAAAAAATATACGTAATAAAAATAAATCTAAAACATTAGGCCATTATTACTTTCATGAACAAAGATAATTTATCTAGCAGATCAAAAAAACAATCCATCCTTATTTATTTGATGTATCTTTATATTAGTTTTATTAACTATTTATTAGTACTCATTTCAATAGACAAATGCCTTATAACTAATCATTTAATAGTATTTTGTCATCTAATAGTTCTATATATTCGTAATTCAATCTTAAACTTTGACAGCATGACTCTTGGAAAATTCATCTAATTCTTCCGCGACAGGCAAATCAGTTTCATCAATATCGTCATCTGAAGCCTATTATTAATTTTGATCATAAAATCATCAAAACAAATTTACATATTTAATAAAGAAAATAAGAAACAAAAGAATAATTACGCATAGTAAAGCCCAATGACGATAAAGTGTATCATTAAGTACGAAATGAAGGTCTTCTGGCAGCAACACACAACCATCAGGATGAAAACTACAATGTTTTGTATATAATGACTTGAGAACAGAAAAAGATCTCTCGTAGCAAAATTTAAAACTTTCGGTTCTTCCTATTTCATTCAGGTTTCAATTGTTTTTATTGATAGTAAAGTTATCAATAAATTACCTTAATCATCTCTTCTTGCACATCGACTCTTTTCGAAATTTAAGACTACTAAGAATAATAAAATAAACTACTTTTTGACGATAAGGCAAAGTTGTGGACGACACTCTAAAATTATATTTTAAGTTGCATTCGAAATTATTAAGAAAAAAAGCACCTGTTATAGTCGAACGAATATTAAAATCATCTTGCTTAGATCTAAAAATTTTATTAGAATTATATGTTTTTAATGGATCACTTTTTCCGTATATGGTTATGTAGTGTAATCTTATTCTTGTGTGAATGTTGGTTATTGTATGATCTAGTGCTTATGATCGTCAAAACAATTTCCTAAGAATCCTATAAAAGGAAATCTTTACATCTTCCGTTTTTTATAGTATAGTATAGTATAATAGCTTCTTGCTTCGTAGTAGATGCTAGATGCTTGATGCTTGATGCAATGCTTGATGCGATGCTTCTTGCTTCGTGTTTTGTGCTTGATGCTTCGTACTTGATGCCAAATTTGAATTTTGAATTCTGTATATTATTTGCGTTGTTGTTTTCGTTTTTATAAGAATTTGATGGTATTTACATGTATGCTTTCTGTATTTTTGTGTTTTTGAAGATTTTTCATCAGATTTTTTTGCCAGTCTGATAAATTGATAATTGCTAATTGTCAAAGATCGTAATGAAAGATTATGATGATAAAAAAAAAAAAAAATAATGAGATTGTTTTAAAAAGAATCATGTGCCACTTGACTACTAACATGATTTGAATACTTGAAAAGATTTGCTTATCGCTATTGATCATTTCTAGACTTGTGTTGAGTTGCTAGATTTTTACTCCTTTTTACTATTTCAAGTCAAATTTATGTCTAATTAAGGCTTATGTAAACTTATTCTGTTTTTTATTAGAAAAAAAAAAACATCTGTTAATTATTTTTTTTTTTTTTGTAAAATATTAAAATGTAGAGCATGGCTTATTTGTGATGTTTCTGTTTGTATTTATAATTTAATTTTTTTGCTTGAGTAAAAGGTCACTAAATTTTACTCAGCTTGAATCTAAAATTTTCTGTGTTTGATATAACTATTGTTAGAAGAATAAAAGATTTTAAAAATTTAATGATTGATAGTAGCAATAGCAATGATTACTTATGACATGAGAATAAAAAAAACTTACTATTCTATTTTTTATTTCTTATTGTTTGTATGCATATTTGTTTATTGATTCTACTGTATTTTTCTAGCTAAAAGCTAAAACATGTTTCTTGGCTATGTGAAAATTATAATGCTAATATACTGATACAAAGCCTCTGGCAAATGACTTAAACTTATAAACATGTATATGCTTTATGGCTATGAAATAATACTAGCATTAAAATATATATGTTGATGATAATGTTTAAATCTTAACTGAGTTTGTATTACTTCTTTAAGAAATATATTTAAATAGATAGATGATAATTCATTTTACTGCACTTTTTATTTTTGGTAAAAAAAAATAAAATAAAATAAATAAATAAATAAATAAAATAAAAAAAATAATCAAAAACTTTTACAGATAAATTTTTTAAATATTACTTAGTATTGGCATTTATTTATATTAAGTATATTAATAATTAAAAAATTTTAATCATTTTACTTGCTAATTTTCTTATAAGGACTATGCCTGGTACTATTACTGTTCAATGCTATGTCACTAAATATAGATTAAACTCTATTCAAAACTTCAACATAGTTGATGCTTCAGCAATTATGAATTCTTGCTTGTTAGATTTATTTTTAAAAATCTTTTTGAAAGGATTTTACTCTCGAAATACTACACAGGAATTTAGTCTTCCTTCTTTTGGAAAAGAAGACATAATACTTGTAACAAAAAAATTTTATGTGGTTGAATACATGAATAAAAAAAATGAAACTCTTTCAGCTATAAAAGTAATTATAAATTTTTATTTGTATCTTATTGTTAAAATATTTAATTTTTGAGTGATACTTATTTCACTAACACTCATTTCACTGAAAGTTTATTTAGTTGATATCATATAGGGTTAGTGTTAGAGTTTTATTGGTTTTGAATATATATTTTTAGTAAGTTGTCACTTGGTGTGATATCAGTATCAAAAATTAATTATCAGTAAAATAATACAGTTTCTAATTTTTAACTATCTAATAAATTGCTTTGATATAAATGCTACTGAATAAAAACTTTGTGAATATATCAAAAATCTTTTTTAATAGGATAACCTTTTAAAACTATAATTTATCGTACATAGTCTTGAAAGGTTATTTTGTTAGAAAAGGTTCTAAATATTTGGTTTTTTCAATATTATAAAAATTTAATTATTTACTAAGCCTTGATTCAGTAGTCTTCGAATTCTTTATAATTATAAAAAACTAAAATTTGTCTGTAGATTGTTATAAATAACCTTGTTCATTTTGGTTTTGAACCAACTCATCTCCTGAAATTTTTAGCTTTGGTTTGCATAACTACAATAGTACAAGAACTTCTAAAAGTTGATAATAATGATACAATGATAGTTGTTGTAATGACTGACTATATAGACTAAGATTTGATGTCTACTCAAATAAATTGCTAATACCTTACAATAGCTCTGCATTTAATATATGTGACTAGAGCTATAAAAAAAAATTCACTTCTTTTTATTAACAGAGAGTTTCTTTTATATAATAATAAAATTTTTATATATATTAAAAATATAACTTTTTCAAGTTACCAAAAATCTTTAGAAAATACAAACACTTTAGCTAAAATCCTTTGGAAATCTGAACTTCAAAATGAACCAAACAAACATGTTAGCTTCACTGAAACAATAGCTAAAAGATTTGATCACAATGCTAAGAATAAGAAACCTTTATCAGTATCTAAACTTTCCTCAAAAAACAAACCTTTTTCTACAATTAAATCCTCTTCTAAAATCAAACCTTCATCTGTAATCAAACCTGTCTCTCTGATAAAACCTTTTTCTGTGAAAAAACTTTCCTCTATTATTAAATCTTCTTCAATGATTAAACCTATTTTATCTATTAAACTGTATATATGAACTAGAAATTGATGAAAGTTAATAAACCTAGCAAAAGATGTATTAACTAATTCAACTAAATTAGATCTATTGCTGAATTCAACTGAAATAGATCTGTTGCCTAATTTAACTGAACTAGATCTGTTACCTAATTTGACTAAACAAGATTTATTATCTAATTTAACTGAATTTGATGTATTATCTCCTATAGATGTTGATATTCTATTAGAATAAAAATTAATAATTTTTGTAATTATGTATATTCTATTTGATATTTGTTAAATAAATAACCTACCTATTTTGTTTTTTTTTTTGTTTTTAAAATTTATAACTAGCTGATTGAGTTTTTGTATTTATACAACAAATTAGAAAAATTAAATACTTACTAACACAAGAAATTTTATATGTGATTAGTCTGAATGTTATATCTGTTGAAATATATATTAATAATAAATTATGAAAATTTATAAATATATTATTACTATTATGATTAAAAAATCTCGTATTGCTTATCTGACACTATATCAATTAAGATATAGTTATATAATATTTGTAAACTTAGTTTATAATCTCAAGTGAGTTTGTTACAAGATCTTAAAGATATCTATGTTCATAGAACTATATAGTTAACAGAATATCTCTACAATTTTCTCGTGATGTCTAGTAGTTTTCTTATATAGTTATATCGATAATTAATAATTAATATTTTAATATAATATGATAACCAATAGATATTATAAGCATTGAGAATGCTATCAATGCTAATAGTTCAAAATGTTTCTTTAATTTATATTATTGTTATTATATTTTTTATTTATTATATCTATATATATATATTTCAATATATTGTCTCTAGTATAGCTAATTATTACATATGGATATACTATAACTAGATTGATATTTGTACCTGATTTACATATATAAATATTCTTAATTTTTTTTGAAAATTGACAGTTTGTTTGAATAATAAATTTATAAACAAAGTACAAAATTCTAAATCTTGTATTGTTTAATATAAAGTTAAATAACTCTTAAATATTTTACTAATAAACTGTATTAGTGATATCTGTATATTCGTATACTAATATTTATTCTGCCTTTTCCATTGCCTTTACATGATCTTCTCTAAAACTGTAATTAATATACTGATATTTAAGCTATAATCTGCTATCTATTCTTATATAGATACAACAGTATGTGAAACTATTTGAGATTATGAAATTACTTTAAATGCAAATTACTTATATGGGGGTAAGTCAATAGAAAAGGGACAAATCATTTTTAGTGAAATTTTTTTAATTTTTAAATTAAAATAACTC